TTTCCATGATCTTGGCCTCTTCTATCATCTCCCTGAGGGTGGACGCCCTTGAGTTTCTAACCATTACCATCATGTCAGCAGGTAGCCCTTTAAGGTAGGCTTTCATCTTGTCTTTCTCTGTTGGGGCCACGTGTCCCACCAAGTTTAGTTTTTCCATAAAGAGTCGAGTGTAGTCTCTTACCGTCATATTTCCTTTCTTTAAGGTTYGGAACTCTTCTTCTATGCGATCCATCTCTTGCTCATTGCAATATTCTTCCATTACTTTTTCCTTGAAGGTGGTCCAACTCATCTTGGTCAATTCGGTGCCATCGATGGTCGAGATGACAATGTTCCACCAGGTAAGAGTTGTACCCCTCAGCATTTGAGAGCCGAATTTCGCTTTTTGCCCCTCGTCACAGTCACAAGCCCGGAAAGCTTGTTCGATCTCTCGAAGCCAGTTCATGCACGCTGCTAGATCGTCTGATCCTTTAAATTCTGGCGGTTTGCAAATCAGAAATGTTTTGTAGGAGCAACCTTTACTCACCTGCCTCGCCTCAATCGTTGCTAACTCTTGAGTTGGGATTTCGTTTCCGGTACCCCCGGACCCCACTATAGTTACGTTCTCGGCAACTGCTTCATTTTTACGATTGTTGGCATCTCTATCCTCCAACAGTTTCATAAAGAACTCTTGTTGATGGGTCATGGCTCTGTTCATGGCGTTCATCATTGTCCCCAACATTCTTGATTCTGGGGTTTCTTCTTCCATAACTGGATTAGAGGTGGTACGATCGACTTGAGGAACGTGATCATCTCCACCACCCAAGGTGTTTTGCCTAGGAGGAAACCTTGTGATGATGGCTCGTGGCGGTTAATCTGCTGTGGACTCGGTCACTGCATGACCTTCCGGAGAGGTATCCCGCCTACTTCGAGTATTTACCATTACAAACTGTCATACAAGAGGGTGAAAGAGAGTTAGGATAGGACGAACACGGAATCTAACATATTACATACCGATACATTCAAAAATTCTGTAATGACAGTAAGTTCAAGCACGCTTGTGTAACAACTTACTCAAAATAGCATTAGCTAAGTGAAATTTTGAATAGGTTATACATAAGAATTCTTACAACTATTGTCACAACTCATGAATGGATACTTTGATTACTCTAATGCTCTCCTATCTTAAAAATTTCTACCCATTCCTCACCCATTGTACTTACGATCTCAGCTTAAGTCTAGGCGTCATGATCCCTTACCTAGTTCACTTAAACTAGTGCTCTGATACCAACTTATAACACCCATTGTACTTACGCCTAGTGAGTTCAATCAAATTCTCAAGATACAATGAAGTCTGAAGATATAATTACTACAAGATTAAGCACTGAAAGAACGCAGTTAAATTAAAACATTTCCAGGGGGGTGTTAAACATCAGAAGATGACGGGGGAGGCCYGATTTACCGTTGATTAAGACGAACACAAAGTAAGTCGTAAATCACCGTTGTAGAGCATCACTTATAGGTTTAAAAACCATTGACATTAACCAAATCCAGTCATTTAGCCATTCGTGATCGTAAGCTCTTTATCTCGGAAATTACACAATAATCACAATGCCTATTTCCGAGTGGTAGTGAAAAATGGGTTGGAAATTACATAATAATCACAATGCCTATTTCCAACTTATACCATGCCTCAGACAATTATAACTAAAACGACTTCCGCCCTACATCACACTACATTTTAGTAATATACTCCATGTATGA